TCGACCGTGTTGGTCCAGCACTCTCTACTGCTGGCTTAACGAAATCAACGTCGCCAAAGATGGCGTGATATGAAACCTCGCCTTGTGGGAGGACTCCAAGCACCCAGCTCCTGAGCGGGAAAGGTCTTGGGCGACGTAACGGTGCGGAAGAAGTTCATCCTCCACGTACTGCGCTCCGGTCGTTCGACATTGAATAGCGCTAAAGGAATATCTACTTCAGATACCCAAGTCTTCGCCTTGCGATCCAGCGTCGTGGTAGCAGTGAATCCGTCGGCGGCAGGGTTCGTCACAAAGAAGTGGTCAAAAGGTGCTTTCTCCGCGCGAACCTTGGATGGATTGTATACGAAAGCTTGGTATGTGACGTTATTCGGATTCACTTCAAATTCGAGATAGGTCTGCGGACTGTTTCTGCCCGGGTGGATAAAGGCCTCCATGACTTCGTATTGCCAGATGTCTTGGTTGGTGGTTTGCTTGGGATCGAAGTAGAACTCGGTCTCGTCAAAGGCCTTGAAGGTGAGCTGGATGGATTTGGGCTTCCAGCAGAGCTCGACATGGGTCGTGGGGAACGGCTTTTGATCAGGCACGGACTTGTTGAATTTAGCCGTGGCTTTTCTGGGGCATTTGTAGACCTTGAGTGACGGCCGGGTCCGACGCTCTGGACCATCTGCAATTGCGGAGGCGGAGGCGGTTGCTGCTAGCAAGCAGGAGAGGATGGTGCCCAAATGCATTCTGAACGAAGATTATTATACCCGTCGAAGATAGGAGCTGGTATCTGTTTGGATATAGAGGAAACCACCGCCAGAAAGACAAATCCACAGTCAAACCCTTCAGTCTACTTAGAATAAAGCCGGGAAGACGATGCCATTTTAAATGGCTCCGGAGGTGACAACGCCATGCGAGCAGCTCAGCGGTTCACCATTCTCAACACGACGGCAGCGTCGCTGAGGTAGTAGCAAGGGGTGTCAGGGCGCCATAGCTAATGCAACTCCACGACCCTGCTAGCGCCCACAACTTCAGGGTTTAACTCCATAGTTGGTTGGTAAGATCGTCACGATGCGGACAAAGCTGAGAAAGCTTTGCGAGTTGCGCTACTCCCATATCTCCGACCACATAGTTAACTATCGCCGTCAACAGGGCTGTACTGCTTGGTGTCGCCGGAAAATGTTGCTCTAGGTTGCCGGATGTCACTCAAGGTAAAGCGACTCCTCCACGAGATCGCGACACTCAGTGAACCCCCGATAGTAAACACTAGTTAACTGACATGGGTGCTTTGACTGTCTATGCGGGAATTCAATGGCTATTTTACGCTGAACGCGAAAACTTTGTGCCCACTGGTCTTTTCACGAAGCATTGAGATGTCGCGAGGCATTTTACTCTCGATGAAGCCATGCATCACCAAAGCCCTATCCGTATCGGATTTTTAACGACGAACCATGTGTGCCCTGGCAGTGTTCTTCATGAGCCCAGATTGAGGGTCAACGGAAAAATTGAAGCACAAGAGGCAACAATTGCAAAAATAGGTCAAGAGCACTTGACACAACAAAGAAAGTGTGGGACATGTGTATTCGCGCATCGGCTTCGAGCAGACAATCAAGGACATCAAAGGCCTATGTTGTTGCATTTTTGGACAGGGGTAACTATACAGTTTTGTTTCTTTAAGGCCACAAGCTTTCCTCGCCATTTATACATGGAGAACCGTATAGTATGGCCCTTATCCCTCGACAAGGAGCAAGGAGCAAGAAGCTGTTGCCAACCAACTAACTAGTTAATTCGCCGATGTTCATCCCTGTAACTAACCATTAAGTGCGGAGCTTTGGAGTTAAAGCCAGGACCCGGGGGTTATGAATCTTGACCCCGATCTGGCAGACAGCGCATTGCGGAGGAGGTATAATGCTGGTTTTTCAGGACCCTGACTATATGCTCTGTGGCTTTGAGTGTCTTATCACCGTATCCAAAGGGCAAGATAAAGGCTGCAAGCGCCGGGACCCTCATCCAGCCATCGGGATTGACTAGTTATCCGCTGTGAGAAACATCTCCGCCACGCGGTAACGGTTTTGAGGCGAAACGACTGGAAACACAGTTTTACCATAGTACTTTGCTTGGGTAATCGGTTAAGCTGTGTTGTGCGTTTGGACTGATCGCAAGTCAAGCAAGAAACGATGAACAGTCCGTAAAGCAACGGACAACCACTCCCAAGAATGCAGCGATTCTCGAACTGAAAATGCTACTTGCTCCTTTTCTCTTCTTCAAAGAATACCGAACCGCAGAATACTTCCTCGTCTCTTAGTATCACATCGTTAGAAGGCAGCTGCCGAGCGAGTTAATTAAGCCAGTTACTCGGAACAGGCTATTAACTACATAAGTTACCTGGACGATGAAATCTCGCTCCCAAATTTATGGTAGAACGGTACGTGCCGCACAATGTGTGATCCGGCAGGGAGAGAGACGTTGGTAAGAAGAACAAGATCATCAGGGACAAGGAAGGAAGAGCCAAAGGCGGCCCTTGGTTGTAAAACCGGTGCCCGGTTTTGTGGAAAGTCAGTACTAGGGGTGCGTGGCGTGCAGGGAGGTAGCTAGTTATTTGCTTTGTTCATTTGAACCCAGAGAGACTTGAAGGGGGAACAGCAGGCTGTCTACGGAGTAGATTGTTGCCCTTCGCTAATATCACTAACGTACGGGGTAGCGAGTTCTCAAATCACTGGCCTCTGGTATGTAGCGACACTCTTCCTCCAGCTTCTTCAACATTACCATCACGATATGTGCAAACAGTTCAAATCACTGTCCTGTATAGAATACTCCGTTTCGAGAGATTCGGGGAGATCCTTAACTGATTTAAGCTTAACCTGAAACCGGGGCACTGCCGAACCTTAACCGCACAGTCCATGGATCCATACAAACATCAACATTCAAACATTCTTGTAAAAATTTGTCAGTCCACCACAGTATATCTTCCCGAAGTAGGTGAATCGGTAAAGATCAACTGCAATACCCTCTACTGCTTCATTACCCGCCGTGTATCATGGATGGCCACCTGGGTATTTTTTTTGGTAATGATGGCAGCTACCAAAAAGCTATAAGTTAGGCCTCATGGGCTTCCCTAGAGGCGATTACTCTGCGCATCCACATTTGCATCAACATCATTGATACTACCGTCAACCGTTCCTCCAACGATTTCAAGTAAACGCGCACCACGAACCAGCGAAATTCCAAAGGCCTAAAGGGGTGTCCACCATGACCGAATCTTTCCAGGTTGTGACCACGTTTTTCCAGCCTTCCCCAGGAGTCCACCCAGGCTATTTCTACCTAATCAGAACAGCCAGCAATATTCTCAAGTATTTCCACCTAGACGACACCACTCCCCGCAGCCCCGATGTCAAGGGGTCGAATTTGGATTTCAAGGAGGTAATCAAGGGCAACTGGGTGGTTGGGATTCTCAAGCCCAGCAACAAGACCAAGGGCAAATTTAGCGTGGTTTCTAGCTGTGCCACGCCACTCAAAGGAATCGAGAGAATCTGGACCGACAGGATGGTTGACGTCAAAGATATCGCTGACGAAAGCGAGGAGTGCGTGTTAGAGACAGACCTCGAGTCATACTATACCAAGCCCCTCGTGTGCAAGGTTCGAGTACCTAGCACAGTGCTGGGAGTGGCTGGTTGTGCTGTGTATTCACGTTTTCCAGATGTTATCCAGTTGCTCCAGCGGGAGTCGGACATCTACCGGATTATCCAGGGCAAAGGACTTGCCAGGCGCTTTTTGGCGTACATCACTGAGGATCGAAGTAGAGTGATTGGGTTTATAGTCATGGACGTCTCGGATGACCAGGATGGTTGGGCGGAGATTATGCCGCAGGATATCAGGGCCCAGCAGAGGGTCCTCCGCGAGCTTCATGGGTTTGGCATTGCGCTCGGAACGGTTTCCCAGCATTATACATTTCTGGAGCTGAAAGACGGCCGGTCTCTCATTGAGAATTTCCGTGCTAGTACCCAAAATGCAAGCAAGCGAACCATGTCAAGGGAATTGAAGGTGGTTGGCTACATCCCCGATCCCATTGATCGTCCCAACTTTGAATACCTCAGCGAGAAACTGAGAAAGGAACTTCGGGCTATTCAGAGGAGGGATGGTGATGTGCATATCGCGGTAATCATGCAAGCTACTAAAGATGGCATAGTCACGGTTACCGAGAAGGATCACAAGGAACTCCTAGTAACGCCTCTACGGTCTTGGAACATCGATTAGGGTGGGATGAGGATACCTATGTTTTATCGGGAGACATGTTATTGCAGATAGAACGTAGTCTTAATATTATTTTGTGTTGGGCATGAATTGGGCACTCTGACGTCATGCACTCGGCAGTTTAAGCTTAACCATTGGCCGGGGCCGCAGCGGTCACATGGGCCCGCAAACCCTGAAAATTACGCACGGACGGGGCCCGAGATACCGTCCGTTACACCCCGGTTCCGTCACAGACCGCGCATTACCTCATCGTTCTGTCACCGGATTTCGATAAAAAGACATCGGCCACCCGCTCTGCTTTCGTCTCATTCCTCCCCCCGCACCCGACTGTCAGATTTGTTTTTTCATTCCCCTGCACTGTTCATTCTGAGAGGTACGCCCCTCAGCTTCATCCCTCGCGTCGCCTTGTGCTGAATGCTTTGCCTTATGGACTTTAGACCATTTCACCATTTTCACAAACTCCTGCTTTACAAGTTTGCTCTCCCCGTGGGATAACACCTTTGGAGCCTTGACGACAGAACTATCATACAGCGGCTACGGATAGCAGCCATACACACTGCCTCATTCCGTCCTAGCCGTCGACGAACCGGTTTCGGCTTTTCGACGTCCCTTTTGCCAACTAGCAAGTCCGTGGCATTCCTCCGTTTTATTCTCCCGCCACGATGCTCGAGCATCGTCGTGCTCACGAGAGCAAGAAGACCGTCTCTCGGAAGGCCGCCAAACGGGATACTGACCGCCTCTCATCTCTCCTTTACTCGTCCCCCGGAGCCATATCCGCCCACCGCACGCATTCCCAGGACGTTTCTCGCGATATTTCTCGAGTTGCGTCTCGTGAAGCTTCTCGGAATGTCTCTCGTATCAACTCTCGAGTCGTCTCTCGGGATGTCTCCCTCAGTCCGAGTAGGGACCAGTCAGACGACGAGTATGACTCAGGCAGTGAGAGTGACGAAACCTCGCCTAGGTATGTTCCACCCGCTTCGCGAACATTCCTTCCCCATTCCCATTTGAAGTCATCTAACTTTGTTTGGACACTCAGCACTATTTCTTTCGATGACCGGATGGGCGAGGATTTCGAAGGTGGAATCAAACAGGATCGACCTTTAGCCGCCGTCATCGATGACCTCATTGATCGAAAACACAGTACTGTACCCGCTCGCGAGGAGAACCTCGCTGCCTACGGGCGCATTTTGGCACGCCACTACGCAGCAGGGGAGATGGAAGACTGTGTGGAGGACCTTCTCCCCGTTTTTCTACAGAGTATCAAGCAGGATTCGACCGAGAACGAAACGAATTTGGCGTTGAAGGCAGTTGCACTGACCGCGATGACGACGCTGGATGGCTCAATTTATGATGGCGCGAGCTCGGCCGTCAGGCGAAAGATCACCGGATACTCATCTCTTCTGACCAAAGCGACTGCGGTTCGTTGTTTGGGTGCATGTGCATTTTTTGGAGGTGCGACGGAAGAAGACATGGTGGACGAGATGGAGTTTTTGATGGAAATTATCACGTCGGATGGCCATTTTGTCGAAGCTCCGGATGACCCGGAAGTGGTGACAGCTGCCCTGCAGGAATGGGGGCTCCTTGCCACCGGGATCGAGGACCTGGAATACCAAAGCGAAGACGCAATCGAGGCATTCGCGGATCAACTAGACAGCAGCGAAGCCGACGTTCAAATTGCAGCCGGACAGAATATCGCACTGCTCTACGAAAAAAGCTTCTCCCCGCGAGAAGAGAACGAGGAAATCGACGAATTCGAGTACAATTTACAAATCGACCAGGACGACATCTCCAAATCCGACTACAAAGACGACAACGGAGTGTTACTCGTCCAGCGCTATAACCCCTACCACAACACGCCGGCCATCGAACAAAAGATCCAAGACCTCACCAAAGTTTCCGATCAGCAGATCAGCAAAAAATCCAAACGCGCTCTTCACAAGCATTTCAAAGCCATTCTCACCACAGTCGAAAATCCGCGCCACGGCCCACGTTACAAGCAATTTTCCGAGAGCGAGGCTTACGGCACCCGCTTGGGCGTCAAATTCCACCGCACTGCATCTCTAAATCTCAACCGCTGGTGGAAATGGTTGAGGATGGTGGCGCTGCAACAGTGGTTGGCTGGCGGTATTGTGGAGCATTATCGAGCGAAGAGCAGGGCCATTGTTGAGAATATCCCCGGCTTTTCGGTGGTGGTTGAGACAGAGAGGGAAAGGCCCAGGCGGCCGAAGGGCAAGGCCTGGAAGAGAGCTGGAGATTCGGGGATTCCGACTGGGAGAAGGGGGGAGATGAATATGCTTTACGATACTTTGCAGGGTTGATTCGGGCTAGGTGGTTTCCGTGATTTGAATCCGCACATGTTGGGTTTATCGATTTTAAAATTTGTTTGGAAAAGGTGTATCGGATGTTTCGTTTGTCTTTGGGAATAGAGATGCCGCATCTCTCTACTCGGCGGCTCTTCGTCCAACTACATATAAAAGGAAAAAAGATTCCTATGTTGCATTTGGCGGATATCTATCAGGAGTTTATGGGATCACAAAGATGCATGTTACGAGATATAGTCTTCAAATTGACCATCTATAAACAATCCATTTTGGATACTATCAATCGTGTTCTTAATACCATAGGCCCAGATGCAAAAGAAAACAAGAAGCAAAATCTGTCCAGAGCCAGCCAGATAACCCCTCAAACTGAAATCAGAAGAAGAAAATAACAAATAACCCCTTTTCAAAGGCTTTCCCATAAAAATACATAAAATAGACAACCCTGATTGTTTTTTACCTGCGTCTCTTTCCAGCCAGCATGCTTGCATACATTGTTTTGAAACCGTTACATAGCGCTGTCATGTCTGGGTATGGATTTCGCTGCAGTTCGTACCCCTGTGGTATAACTTTCACGGGCCAGCTGTTCATTGGCGCATTCTGGCCTGCTTTGAAACAGAGGTGAAAGTAGCCGGGGTGTTTGGGGTCGATGCAGAAGGCGTAAGTGGAACGGGTGGGATTGGCGGTGGTGTAGGTTGTAAGCCAGCGCTCTGGAAGAGTAAAGTAGGTTAGTAAAAGCACATCGATATTGCCGGAAAACGCGCGAGTACATACCTGTTGCGTCTTTGGAGCCGGACTGATATTTCTCATGGATCATCATGTCATCGACCTTTCGCGCCATCGCTTTAACGTGGTTCACGATCAATTCGTCAAGATCGGTGTATGAATATTTGCCGCCAATTTTCAAAATCTTGCCTACTGAAAACTCATTCTCTTTGTCAAGCTCCAGCACGTCAATGTGTTGGTATACCCGGTCCGATACCTTCCACGTCACAGCAAGATGGTCAGGCCCCTTGGAGGATGGTCTGATAACTGCATCACCACGGCTCTGCGAAGCAAGGAATTCTTCAGCCTGTGGCCCATTGAAGGGACGGAACAGAGGGTGTTTAATGACTCTGAGCGCACGGGTGTTCGTCTTGGCTTTCTCCTTCATTGCGTCTTGATCTTGGCGCTCTTGATTGTCATCCCATTCGTCGCGCATGTGGTCAAACTCCCGGCGATAAGGTTTATTGACCTGGTCTTCACGAAGAGATGCGTTGGCAATAAATGCTTTGCGGTTGAGGTAGAGAAGCTTGGCCGGGATAGTCTGATGGATGGAATACAAGGTCCGAACGGGGATGTCGTAGCGGTCTGTAAGCTCCATTTCGGGGATGAGCACATCGACACCACAGTCGAGTTTGCCGTCGATGTGGTCATCAGTGATTCGCTTGATTGTGATGGGGACAACCATGCCTTCAGCCAAAGTGTCTGGAGTCTCCCCCGTGAGCATGGTGAAGATGGCGTCCGTGCTCAAGAACACGAATTGTTTTCGTAGTTCCTCATATGGTTGCTGCAATTCAGCACGGATGGTTTCAAGGGTGGCTCGCTTTCTCTGGTTTAAATTCTTCTCCAACTGTTCGGCATACTCTTCCAAAATAAGATCATTGACCTTTTCTTGCGCATCCTCCTTGATGAGTTTCCTGACAATAGCTCCAGGCCCGTTCTCATCCGTCTCTGCTTTGATATCTTCTTCGTCGAGTTCAAGCGCATCAGCAGCCATTTTTCGACCAATGTCATAATCTTCTGGGTGAACACGGGTATTGTCCAGGTAATCGGTGTCAGGATCAGATGTGTCATAGTCAACGTAAAGAAAACTAGCACAATTATTCCACACCTTCACACCCATTGCAGGATATTGAGCATTAACGCCCAAAAGCTCCATTCGGTTATTCACCACTCCGCCGTTCATGTTGATTATCTTCAGCAGTTGAGAAGCTTTTCGAGGGCCAAGTCCACACACATATGTGAGAAGATTTGCAGTAGAAGGGTCATTCACAGCTTCATTGATGTCGACACCACACAAGTTAACCATATCAACTAGGGCACTTTCAAGCTGTTTTAGGAGCTTGTCCTGGGATATCAATTGCTGTCCTGGTTTGAATTGAATAGACACTATATCCCTTCCAAGCGATGCATATTCCTTCATCGGATTCTGAAGGTATTTCGCTAGAGAAACGCAGTAGACCGTTAATTGGCTAAGTCCAGGGTGTTCCGACCTAGCCTTATCGCTAGTATGATACAGTCTCGCAACCTCGTCGTTAACAATAACAACTTCAAGAAGATCACTGACTTCTTCATCGTTATCGTTGGTATAAGGAGAACTGCGAAGATTTTTGGCATCGATAAGCTCTGTCAACTGTTTGTAAAGCTTGCGTGTCTCGGGGGACATTCCTGAAATACCGATCACATCGGGTTTGCGCCGTTCGATGAGCTCCATGAAATTATCCACATCTCTGCCGTCTGCAATCATTCGATCTGGATCACCGAGAGCAAGATCAACGAATTTGCCATTTTCCAAAACCCTGCCATCCTCTTCAACCCACGCCCAGTATATTGGGTCTTTGCCAATGGTACCAGTACCACTTGATAGAGTGAGAACACGAGGAATAGTGCCCAGTACCATGCCTTTGGGCTTGTACGGAGCTTGGTCGAGGCGCAAGGAAAAGGCTTCTCTGCATTCCTTCGCAACATGATTTTCGCATTCTGTTTTGATGTTTTCCTTGACACCGCGGCTCATAATCTTTTCCAACCTCCCAATGGCCATGTCAAGAACTTCTTTTCTCGCTTTATTCCAGGCATCAGCGACCTCACTAAAATTGTCGGATTGGATATCACCGTATAGACGCTTTTTATAGTTATCGAAATTCTGGAACCGAACTTTGACCTCAACCAAGCCCTCTTCTTCCGCCTTGAGCATGCGCAAAAATAGTTCTGGCCGTCGTGCAATGTCGCTGAGTTGCTGATTTCGAAGATATTTGAACTCATAGTAAGGATGATGCTCGTCTATCTTTTTCAAACCTTTCTCGGTTCTAAAGCAGTCGATTACTCCATTCATATAGAATGCTTGTCTTAAGCATTTCCGCACTTTAGGACTCATAGTCAATTCCTCTGCGAACATTGCTTTGGAAGCTTTGAGCGCATGCAAACCGTTTGCGAAACTGGTGTCGAGGAGATTGTCTGCCATGTCCTCGGGGAGTTCAGTAGGGTCGTCAATATGATGTCTTTTAGCTTCCTTCATAGCATTTTGGGCGAATCCATTCGGAGTAATCCCAAAAGCGCGAACAAGACCGTAGGCCTTGCTATTGCGAATACGCTCGAAGAACGTTTTCGTTGCGGCCTTTCGACGTTGACTAACAACCCCATTTTCTCCACTGCCATTGACCATTGCAACATCCTTGAGCTCTGCTGAATACTGGAAGTACAGGTAATCCTGGATGTCTTGCAGTTCCTCCATGGTTACGGCGGCGGGTAGCATCTGTTCAAACACTTCGTCTTTGACATTGGAGATGCTACGTAGATTGTCATAGGTCCGCTGGAGGACATTTCTTTTATCCACGAGCGCTCGGAACTTTAGATCATACTCGAAGATATCCCACAGATCGGTCATATTTAACAGCTTTTCAGCTCTGATAACATAATCTTGTCCATCGGGATTGGAGGGATCAGGAGAAACTGGAACCTTTGCCGCGTGGATCAGATAATCCTTGCGGTGTTGAAAGATGAACGGCACTTCCCAGTCATCAGTTACCATGAATTCGAGGACCTTGACGATGGATTTTTGGAAGGGTTCCTTTAAGCTTGGGTCCAGTCGCTTTTTTGGGAGCATAAGGTTGGAAATCCAAAGGGCTTCTTCCTTGAATTGCTCGTCGGTGAGAATAACATGTTTATAAGGCTTCCTGGCCAGTTGGTAACGTTCAGGTTCATCTGCGAAACGAATCTCGTTGTCTTCTTCAGTCATCATCTTCTCGGCGAGCTGCGACGGCTCAAATACATCCTTTAGATCGAGTGGCTTCTCCTCATCTCTGCGATCCTCTTCGTCCTCTTCTTCCTCCATTTCGAGTGCGAATAGGTAGTCAGTGCCGTCGCCAAAAGCCGCCCGCATATCTTCGAGGGCGGCCTCGTCAAGCCCTGTTGCTTCGGTGACCGCAAGGCCAGAAATGCCCTTCTTGGCCGGCCGGGCGATTTCCTCGTCATCTCGCATGCGTTCTCGCTCTTCGTCGGAAAATACGTCTTCCTCGATGAAGTCGTCTAAGTCGTCATGGAGACCTCTTCTATCCCGAGCACCCATGCGGAACCGGTCAACTTCCTCTTCTTCCTCGTCCGAGTTAAAGATGTCGTTAATCCCATGGGAAATACCACGGCCGCGGTCACCTTTATGACCCCGCTTCAAGCGTTTAAATTTTGACTACAAGAAATTCAGTGTCAGCGACCGTCGACTCATTTAAGATAGTGAGCCATGATTCAAAGTTATAATACCTCTTGAGACACAGGAGGTTCAAAATCTGGGTTATTCTCGCCGATTAGGTAAATATCTTCCTCGTCCAAGTCTTCGTCGTCGAGGGCGCGCTCTTCACGCCGCCGCTTCTTTTTCTCACGTCGTCTTTCGATCCGTTCTTCCTCTTCTTCGTCTTCGTCAACAATGAAACCCTCACGAACCTGTGGGCCGTCAGTCGCTATGCCAGTCAATCGTACCAGCGTTCAATTAATGGAGAATCTCACCGCGCGCGCAGCATCCTCGTCCTCGTCTTCCTCCTCCTCACTTGAGTCGTCGTAGTGGCCATTCCGATCGCCATGTGTCCTGCTCACTTCGCCGGTTTCTTCATCATAGTCTTCATCGTTTTCCTCATCGTCCAGCAGAGCCTCGTTTTCCAACAGATCGGCGGCGCTCATTCTGCCAAACGCGGTGAAGGTGGGCAAAATAGACGAGATAAATGAAACTTGACAAGAAAGAGAAGTTGATGAAGAAGGGAAAAGTTCAAGCGAGGGCTCTGTCTCTTATATATCCAAAAGTGTTGCTATCAGCTTGACCGGCGCCATGAATGCTCTAAAAACCACTAGCCCTCAATAGGACTAGCGGTAACGGCAACTGTGGCGTAGCTATCACGTGAAATTTACCGCTTATATAATCGAAGTCGCATCATTAATAAGCTTAATTCCTTGATATTTTATTGAGGTCATGTGATTGACCCCCTACATCGTGATATCGGAGCTTTTGTTGACTTCAATAGTTTGGAGAAGGATCACCAATGATTTGAACGAAGTGTTCGCTGCTTGTCAAAATCTAGATTCATGGAGTATCCATCTCACCGTAGGCTTTGTTTGACTTTCGGACCTCCAGTGGTTCAGGTGGAGGTTTCAGAAAGTGTGAACCATAGAGCGGATGCGCGCAAGAGGAACTAGCTCGCTGGTGAGGATGAGAAACTGGCCAACAGGGACTGATACCTGAAAGGATTGGAAAGAAGACGAGCATGCATCCGTTGTCGAGTGCCTTGTCAACATCCGTAGCTATGCAGTGAAATCGCCAATCATTCTTTTTGCCTGTGCCTCTGCTGAATTCTCAGCATTCTGCGCCTGACACACTTCTATCCAATCTGATGCAGATTCTCACCTCGTCGCGGAACCGACCCAGACTTTGCAGCACTGAATCCCTGGCGCGCAGATGCTTGACTGGGTTCAGGGCCACCTAACTATTTATTGATGAGCGAACTCTGGCCTGCCAATTCACCGGCTAGCGTCTTGTGTCAAAACTCCCTGAACCTTGTGGATAATAGTCGAGTCCAATAATCAGTCAAGCCCAACCCCTCTCTCCAGGCCAAACCGGCTCGACAATCCCTCTGGCGATTTTCCTTCAAATACTCGAAATTGCTCAGCGAAATTCGCCATCAAAAGAAATCAAACACAAATCGCTCGCCAACCACGGGCAAAATTCTGGCCAACCTCCCACTGTACCACAGCGTCTTCCCGGGCGGTGTGAACATCCCGACAAACCTACCATGGCCGACGCTTTCAGAGCTCGAACGCTGAAACGGAAAAACGTGAAGGGTCTTGCGCTCAATGCAGCAGCGTCCAAATTGGGCTCAAAGCCTTCAGATGGAGATGCCCAGATACCAGGAGCGATTGGGAATAGCGATAGTAATCGCACGGACACACTCGAGATTGGATTGGAATTTCAATTAGACCTACGGAGCGAAGATCTAATAGTGCTCAAGGAGCTTGGAGCTGGCAATGGAGGAACAGTGAGCAAGGTGATGCATGCGTCGACAAAAGTTGTGATGGCTAGGAAAGTATGTACATGCTGGACCGCCCTGTTGCGGAACCTCGGCAGATTGCTGACTTTGTTGATTTGCTAGATTATACGAGTCGACGCAAAAGAGAATGTAAGGAAACAGATATTGAGAGAGCTACAAGTCGGCCGACACTGCGATTCCCCCTATATCGTAACGTTTTACGGTGCCTTCACCAACGAGGCCAGAGACATTGTGCTGTGCATGGAATATATGGATTGTTGGTATGTGCTGAAGGCAGTTCATTCATGACTACATACCGTTTGGGCTAGGTGACTGATGCTTACCTTCTCTGTAGCTCTCTTGATCGAATCCCCAAGGATTTCGGGCCCGTTCGAGTCGACGTATTGGGAAAGATTGCAGAGTCGATTCTCGGCGGGCTTGTTTACCTTTACGAAGCACATCGTATCATGCACAGAGACATCAAGCCATCTAACGTGCTCGTCAACTCCAGAGGACATATCAAACTATGTGATTTTGGGGTTGCAACTGAAACGGTGAACTCTGTTGCCGACACTTTTGTTGGCACATCGACCTACATGGCTCCTGAGCGTATTCAAGGTGAAGCTTATTCAGTACGGTCCGACGTATGGAGCATGGGCTTAACAATTATGGAGCTGGCGGTTGGCCGTTTCCCCTTTGATTCCACGGATACGGCCGCAGGAGACAGGGCCAGCGCTGGTCCGATGGGCATTCTGGATTTGTTACAGCAGATTGTGCATGAACCAGCACCGAAGCTTCCAAAAAGCGATGCATTTCCAGCCATTCTAGACGATTTTGTGGCCAAGTGTTTACTGAAGAAGCCAGGTGAACGGCCCACGCCACGAGAGCTTTTTGTAAGTTTTCCCTCCAAATTACTTGCCATAACATTTCTAATCTCGTCACAAGGATCGCGACGCATTCATCCAGGCGGCTAAGCGAACTCCAGTCAATCTTCGAGAATGGGCCATCAGCATGATGGACAGGCATAATAGGAAATCTTACTTGGCACCTCCTGCCCCCCGAGCCATCACGCGCGACGGCTCGAGAGATTCCGTCTCTGAACCGAAACCATCGCGGCAACCGGACTCCCATGCTCACGTAACTCCTACGTCTGGAGAGATTCCTTTGAACTACTCGCATGTCCAACACGGCTCACGAGACGATCAAACCCCTCGTGCAGTCGAACCCTCCCCGAGTCTCGGCCTGGAGCATCTTAATATCAACAACCATAATAACTCTCCAGTCAACGGCCAGAATGGATGGCCAAGAAAGTCACCATATGCCGCGGGTCATCATTCAGCTAGTAACTCCCCTCAAGCATATGCTTCACCCCGTGCTGCTCCGTCACCGCATCATCCATCACCCAGAAGTCTCCCACAGTCGGCTGGCTTGCCATTGAGGACTGGGCCTCCCAGCGGGCAATTGCCGCCTCCCCCCGGTTCTAGTGCGTTGGGTTCGTGGCCACGAGGCCAAGGAAACCGAGTCTAGTTTATGGCATGACTGGACTCTAGAGACCAACCTCGGATATCCTGATCTGGGGTAGTCGAATGGTTCATGATGTTAAAGACTTTGTCCCTTTTGAGGAACATATAAGTTCCACATATCCCCGCCTAGTCTCCCTTTTACTTTCAAAGTATTGTTATCTGGGTCCATTTTACGACATTTTATTGGATTTCTTGTTTTCTTGCTGCACAGAGAGTTATTTCCCTTTCGCATGCGTCCGTCGGGTTCTCTGGTTTTGTTTCCGCTTCCCTTGCATATCAAGGCGTTCCGCCACATTGATAATTGATTGTTCCTTTTTAAGTATGCTGAACTCGTTTTGATGGTTTCCTTTTTCTTTGCTTCGAAAGATATGTCGTTGGCGCCCTTGAAGGTTCAAAAACGAAAGTGGCTTGATGATCTTGAATTGTTAATTTTTGCGTATGTGAATTTTGTGTCTATCCGCTGTCGTGATTGTCCCCATGCGTTGCATCCATTTCCCACTGACATCCCTGCTCAATGCCATTTTTTCCCCCATTTCTCAATTGTTGTTTTAGCGAAACTTGAATGGAAGAGGAGGAGTGAATGCGTTTCTTATTTTGATTTTTGAGCTCCAGGCTGGGTATGTTGCAATACAACGTCGCTTTCAATTTACTGCCTTGGTCGAGGCCAGCTATAAATAAATAGGTACATACATACAGACATCGCATATTGTAATTATCATTGACTCCGAAATGCGTTCAAACTGCGACCTGGGATGGCCGTCGGGGAAAGAGATTCCAGCAGCAAGGAGACCGCGCCCTATGATTGCAGATGCCTTATATCCTGGTCAGCCAGGAGTTAACTATATGGGGTCGTGTTCAGCCCATCCTATTTCTGGAAATGACTCAGAAGCAGACTTTGGAGAGTGAAGAGACGAAATATCTTTATAACCTGATAAGCGAACGTCCCCTTTAATTTCTAACCTCCTAATATATTTTGAGAGTCGCACCTCCAGTGCAAAGTACTTGACCGTAAAACTACACTTCGTTGAAAAGCTCAAGGCCGCTGTACTTCAACGATGAAACTACGTCCGGAGCTCGAAGACGAAAACACGAGATACTATAGCGGCGGCGCTCCTCCGCAACCGTTTCGAGTGCTACTACCCTCAAGCGACTCTTTACCCATCGTCCGCACAGAACGTCTCTGTCTCCGCCCACTCACGCTCGGCGATATAGACACGATTTTCAACATCAGGCCGAAAGAGGCAAATAGTTGGTAGTACGCTACATCTTGCCCCCTTTTTTCTCCTGGAAGTTGGCAGCAACAATAGCTTACTCTTTACATGGAATTCCAGCACGCCGTGGACATCCGTTGACGAGGCGCGCGCCTGGTTCGACAGGAAGACCTTTTGCGAACCAGCGTCTGCGGCCGGCCTGACTTTTCAATACGGGATAATCTTGGGCCCGGATCCCAGCGGTGAAATGATTGGAACAATAGGCATGAATCAGGTGCATCCAAGGCCTAACATTGGATATGGGCTCACGGATGCGCACACGGGCAAAGGGTACATGTCAGAGGCCTTGGGCGGGGTGCTGGGTGTGTGGTGGGGTCTCCCGAGGCGAGAAGGCGAGTCTGACGAGGAGGAGCAGAGCGAGGACTGGGATGGCACGGAACGAGTATTTGCGACTGCGAGTAAGGCGAACAGGGCGAGTGTGAAGGTGTTGGAGAAGAACGGCTTCGAGGTGTACTTTGAGCGCACAACAGGCAGCGGCGATACGGTGTGCTGTGCGGCCGTTACAGCGCAGTTACCGGATGATTGATATTCCAGTCCGACGGGATTCGGAGGTTTAATTCTGCCGGCTCGGATGGATTAGTCATTTGTTTGCAGCTTTGGCAAACGCGGATGATTGTCCAGAGTCGATTTCGTTACCCGTGAGAAATGTAAGGAGGCGAGCATTTCACTTATGAGCCAATGTCAATTTACAGAGGTGATGGCTTTATTTCCGTGGCTGTCGATGCGAATATACATCAGCGCATAGCTATGTGAGCACGCGATCAAACAATGCAAACACGGTTTCACGTGGGCCCCCGGCAGCCTCGGTCCTCCAGAACAGCTCCACCTTTTCCATGAATTGAATGATGATATAAGATGCTTGTCCGCATCGCATTCTATTTTATCACCGTTGTAGATGCGCATTAATTCCCATATTCAATTTTGAGGCTGTAATCAGTTTGCCGCATTCCATCGCACCGCCCGGATCCACATCCTCCCTGCATCGAACCAGGAGCTATCCACAATGGGTGATATCAAGATCCCTGCTCTCCAGTACACATCTCTCGACGAGATCCCAGAGCGCGTCAGGACGCTTCG